AGTTTTGCTCTGTTGCCCAGGCTGGAGTGCAGTGGTGGGATCTCAGCTCACTGCAACCTCTGCCTCCCGGGTTGAAGTGATTCTCTCACCTCAGCCTCCCGAGTAGCTGGAACTACAGGCACCCGCCATCATCCCTGGGTGATTTTTGTATTTTTGTACAGATGGTTTCACCATGTTGGCCAGGCTGGTCTTGAACTCCTAACCTCAGGTGATCCGCTGGCCTTGGCCTCCTAATGTGCTGGGATTATAGGCGTGAGCCACCACGCCCAGCCTACCTATTCTTTTTTTAAGAGACAGAGTCTCACTCTGTTGCCCAGGCTGGAGTGCATTGGCACAATAATGACTCACCGCAGTGAGCTTCTGGGCTCAAGCGATTCTCCTGTCCCAGCCTGCTAAGTAGCTGGGACTACAGCCACCATGCCTGGCTGATTTTTTTTTTGTAGAGATGGGGACTTATCATGTTGCCCAGGATGGCTCTTTAAAAAAAGAGAGGGCCAGGTGCAGGGGCTCACGCCTGTAATCCCAGCACTTTGGGAGGCTGAGGTGGGCAGATCACCTGAGGTCAGGAATTCGAGACCAGCCTGGCCAACATGGCGAAACCCTATCTCTACTAAAAAAAAAAAAATACAAAATTAGCTGGGTATGGTGGCATGCGCCTATAATCTCAGCCACTTGGAAGGCTGAGGTATGAGAATCACTTGAACCCTGGAGGCGGAGGTTACAGTGAGCTGAGATTTCGCCATTGTACTCCAGCCTGGGCAACAAGTGAAACTCGGCTGGGTGCAGTGGCTCACACCTGTAATCCCAGCACTTTGGGAGGCTAAGACAGGTGGATCACCTGAGGTTGGGAGTTCGAGACCAGCCTGACTAACATGGAGAAACCCTGTCTCTATTTAAAAAAAAAAAAAGTGAAACTCTATCTCAGAAAAAAAAAGAAACAGCCCAGCAAGCTAAGAATAGGATGGTTCTTTATGTGCCGGGCACTATCCTAAGTGTTGTCTGCGGGTTTTCTCATAATAGGCCTCATCTGTGAGAGATGTTACTGTTACACTTACCTTACAATTGAGGTAACAGTCCTAGAGAAATGAAGCACCCCGCCCACAATCAGACAGGAGGGAAGTGACGCAGCTGGCATAGGGACAAGGCTCTGAGCTGCAGCCACTGTCCTGTCATTTCCCTGCAGAACCACATCCCTGTGTTTAGTCCAGCACTTACAGACGGCTCGCTGGGCGACATGATCTTCTTCCATTCCTACAAGAACCCGGGCCTGGTACTGGACATCGTTGAGGGTAAGATGCTGGGGCCACAGAGGGGAGGGGAAGGAGGGCCAGTTGAGCCCAAGGCCTGACTTCGGCCCTCTTCCTCCAGACCTGAGGCTCATCAACACGCAGGCCATCTTTGCCAAGTGCACTGGGATGATCATTCTGGGTGGGGGTGTGGTCAAGCACCACATTGCCAACGCCAACCTCATGGTGAGTGGGGGTGGCACTCCGGCCCACTGTGAAGACGTGCTGTGTGCTAGGCCTATGCTATGCGCTGGGGAGACAGGATGAATAGACAGGCCAGGATCCCTGCTCCCCAGGACTGATGTTCTAGTTGGGGAGATAGGAAAACAGTAGAGGTCCCAGTGACATCCTTGTCAGGTGGCAGTCATTGCTACGAAGACTAGATGATGGGATAAGAAGAGAAAGGGTGCTGTCCAATAAGGGGTGTTGGAAGGAGGCTTCTGGAAGTGTGAGCTGGGAGCAGAGGTCTGGGGTTTGGGGAAGCTCCTCCCGGGAGCCACATGGTTATCTACCATGCCAGGAGTTTCTGCAGCTATGCTAGGATTGGGTTCTGGATTGCAAAGTTCTCAGCAGAGGGAACAGCCGGTGCAAAGGCTCTGGAGTGCCTGAAGCAATCCAGGAACAGCTGGGAGACTGGTGAGGGGAGAGTGGAGTGGTGAGGGCCAGGAGGTGATGCGGGGAGGTGTCTGGGGAGCCTGCTGGGCCTTGTAGGCTGAGGCAAGGGCTTTGGCCTTTGCACTGAGGGAGGTGGGGGTTCCCGTGCTCTCTCTGGTGGCCACGTGGGGAACAGATGGTGGCAGGCGAGTGAGAACTGCAGTCCAGGGCCATGGTGACCATGCAGGGACCAGGGTCGGGCCCGTGGAGGCGGGAGGTGGCTAGGTTTGCAGGGCTTCTGAAGATAGAGTTGACACCTCTGGGACACATGGCCATTGTTGCCCAGCAGCTCTAGTGACCCCAAGCATTGCCATGAGCCCTGTCTGGGAGCGAGGGGCTGCCAAGGACTTCCTTCATCTAGCACGCACACCGCAGCCTGCTTGGCTATAGTGTCCCTTTCTGTGTCTGTCTCCTGTGACTGGCTGACTGGGCACACCCTCCCTATTCCCTCCCTACAGCGGAACGGGGCCAACTATGCTGTCTACATCAACACGGCCCAGGAGTTCGATGGCTCTGACTCGGGCGCCCGACCAGACGAGGCTGTCTCCTGGGGCAAGATCCGGATGGACGCACAGCCTGTGAAGGTATGGGTGGGCTGGACAGGGTACAGGGTCTCCGGGACTATGGCCATGGGTCCCACAGCTTACCCAGTACCCCCCTACAGGTCTATGCCGATGCCTCCCTGGTCTTCCCCCTGCTTGTGGCTGAAACCTTTGCCCAGAAGGTGGATGCCTTCATGCCCGAGAAGAACGAGGACTGAGCAGCTGCGGTTCCAGGGAGGCCTTATCCCCCCTCTATTTATTAATTTGCAGACCCAGCCCCTCCCCTACTCCTTGGTCAGCTGCATCTCTAGAATAAAATGGTCTCTGCGGTCCTTCTGCATCTTTGTCTGTCCTTGGTCCTGGTGGTAGGTCCTCCGGCTTCAGCCTGCTCCATCCTCTGCCTCATAGGCCTCCTCCCGCCAGCAGTGAACGCTGCCTCCCATGGCGGTCAGCAGGCAGGGCTCCGTGGGGTGGTAGGCCAGTGATTGCACCACGCCGTGACCCACAGGCAGAGCCAGAGCCAGGGCACCCTGTGGAGCAAGGGATGGGGAATGGTTATCTGTGGCTAGGCTGTGCCCTGGTTCCTGAGGTCCCTGAGCACCCCCATCTCAGTCCTTCCTGGAGCTCTCTGTCATCTCTCTCCTGACCTTCAGCCACCTGCCTCTAATTGCCTCCTGGACACTGCAAAATAAATCTACCCTAGACTGAGCCCCTCAGTAGCTCTGTCCTCCCAGGCCACATGTCTTGGGAGTCTCTTTTATTGATTTTTTAATTGTTTAATTTTTAAAAATAGGTTGGGTGCGGTGGCTCACGCCTGTAATCCCAGCACTTTGGGAGGCCAAGGTGGGCAGATTGCAAGGTCAGGAGTTCAAGACCAGCTTGGTCAATATGGTGAAGCCCAGTCTCTACTAAAAATACAAAAATTAGCCAGGCATGGTGATGGGCACCTATAGTCCCAGCTACTCAGGAGGCTAAGGCAGGAGAATCGCTTGAATCCGGGAGTTGGAGGTTGCAGTAAGCTGAGATTGGGCCACTGTACTCCAGCCTGGGTGACAGAGTGAGACTTTGTCTCAAAAAAAAAAATTACAGATGAGGTCTTGCCATGTTGCCCAGGCTGGTCTTGAACTCCTGCTGGCCTCAAGTGATCCTCCCACCTTGGCCTCCTAAAGTGCTAGGATTACAGGTGTGAGCCACTGTGCTTGGCCTTGGGAGTCTTTTCCTTGCACCTGACATTCCTCTGTCAGTCAGTCCTCTTGGCTCTGCTTCTAGACCGTGCCCAGACACTGCTGATTTTCTGCCACCACCCTGCTTGGAGCATGCCTTATTCGCAGTTTCCCTGTTCCCTGCCACCAGCTGGGCTCCATCCTGCCCACTTGGCAGCCCCAATAATCCCCATTTTCCCTGATACCCTTTGGTTACAGCATGATGTAAATAGTTCCTCAAGCAAGCTACAGTTCCTCTTTCCACCTTGAAAATGCTTCCCGTGCCTGCCCTCCAAGGCAACTTCTGGTCTACTGTGCCCACAAGAAATAGGTGGAACATTCTAGCTATCTTACTTCCTAAAGCAAGATTTTGTCCCCTAAGTCTCCAGGGTCCCCCAGTTCCCTCCATCCTCTTAATGGGCCTTAGTTCCTCTGGCCAAGCCCATGGCTGATGTCTCCTTCACTGTGGTCCCCCAAGCCCTGATCCTGCCACACCAGGATGGTCTGTTTCTGGCCTGACTCCGCACCAGGCTGGAACATGTCAAGGACGGGGCTCAGGGCTTGAAACCATGCACAAGGATGCTCAGATGTAGCTCCAATTTCTTGAATGACTACAGCCCTGTCTCACCCAGGGTTAGACATGGGTGTTGGCTCTCCTTTGCCCAGGGGTCAGTGCCAGTAGCTTGGCCTGGCATCTGTGGCCCAGCCTGACCTGGATCTTGCTGCAGCTGCTGCCACCCTGAAGCCTTTGTTTCCTGGCTGATGCATGTGCAGGCCATACCTCTACACCTTAGCATATGCTGTTCCCTTTGTCTGGAATGCCCTTTGTGCCTCATCATCTCACTTCTTCAAGATCCTAGCTCAGGCTTGGTGCAGTGGCTCGGGCCTGTAATCCCAGCACTTTGGGAGGCTGAGGTGGTGGATCACTTGAGGTCAGGAGTTTGACACCAGCCTGGCCAACATGGTGAAACCCTGTCCCTACTAAAAATAATAAAAAAAAAATTAGCTGGGTGTGGGTGGTGGGCACCTATAATCCCAGCTACTCGGGAGGCTGAGACACAATAATCACCTGAACTCTGGTGGGGGCAGAGGCTGCAGGGAGCTTAGATTGCCCTATTCCAGCCTGGGCAACAGAGTGAGACTCCATCTCAAAAAAAGAAAAAAGATCCTAGCTTTCAGGTCCTGGAGTGACTGGGGTAAAGACAGGGCTGAGATGGGGCAGGCACCTAGGTATGAGGTGGGGCTGGGGGCACCTCACCTCCACCAGGTCCCAGAAGAACACCTTCCCGTCCTCAGAGCAGCTGACCACATGTGTGTCTCGCTCACTCAGGCAGCAGTCCAGCTTGTACTCCTGGTTCTTATGGCCCTTGTACCTAGGGCAGGCAGGATGGGGGTCTTGGTCCTTTCCAGGGGTAGGAGAGGAGGGAAGGGGACCCCATGACCACAAGGACTCACTCGCCTAGCAGTTCCCCTGTGTCTTTGTCCAGGAGCCGCAATGTGGAGTCCAGGCTGGACACTAGGGTGCACTGCCCGTCCCGGCTGAAGCAGGTGCAGGTGATGGGGCCTTGGGAGAGGGGCGGGTAGTGAGGCTGGGGTGCCCCTAGCTGGTCCCCCATCTTCCCTGCCTATCCCACATCCCCGGCCACTCACTGCCCACGTAGTCTGAGAAGAGCTGCCCCTTCCTCAGGTCATAGCGTCTCACGCGGCCATCCACAGAGCTGCAGGAGAGGGTAGGTCCAGTGGGAGCCTTGACTAGGCGCCATGGCTCCAGGCAGCACTGTGCGTTCCCAGCCCGCTGGGCCTGCTCATCCAGGGTACAGGGGTGGAATTCTGAAGCTCTGGCCTTGAGACTCAGGCCCAAGGCTAATCAGGCTAACTCCATCATTTCCACGACCCACACCCCCTTTCCAAATCCATGGAGTCCTTCTGATTCCCCCTTTTCCTGCATTCTCCAGCTCTTCCTCCTCAGTACTAAGGACGTCCCACCACTTTCCCCACCACCCAACGCCAGCATCTGGACTACTCTGGTCTCTATGCACCTTCACAGCCACCAGAGGGAGTACTTTTCAAAGTACAGTAGACTCGTGAACAATGCAGATCTGAATCCAGAGTCCACTTATATGTGGATTTCTTCTGCCTCTTTCAGCCCTGAGAAAGCAAGACCAACTCCTCCTCTAACTTATTTTTTATTTTTATTTTATTTTTTTTAAAAAGAGACAGGGTCTCACTATGTTGCCCAGGCTGGAGTGCAGTGGCTATTCACAGGCGCTATCCCACTACTGATCAGCACGGGAGTTTTGACCTGCTCCGTTTCCGACCTGGGCCGGTTCACCCCTCCTTAGGCAACCTGGGGGTTCCCCGCTCCCATATTGATGCCGAACTTACTGCGGACACCCGATCAGCATAGCGCACTACAGCCCAGAACCCCCGGACTTAAGAGATCCTCCAGCCTTAGCCTCCCAAGTAGCTGGGACTATAGGCACACACCACCGCGCCCGGCATTTTTATTTATTTATTTTATTTTTTGAGACAGAGTCTTGCTCTGTCGCCAGGCTGGAGTGCAGTGGCATGATCTCTGCTCACCCCTGCAACCTCTGTCTCCCAGGTTCAAGTGATTCTCCTGCCTCAGCCTCCTGAGCAGCTGGGACTACAGGTGTGAGCCACCGCCCCCGGCCCTCCTCCACCTTCTCAATGTGAAGATCTTTATGATCTCCACTTAATGAATAGAAAAAGGTATTTTTTTCTTCCTTATGATTATTTTTTAAAAAATTATTTTATATATATATATTTTTTTGAGAGAGTCTTGCTCTGTCGCCTAGGTTGGAGTACAGTGGTGCAATCTTGGCTCATTGCAACCTCCAACTCCTGGGTTCAGGCGATTCTTCTGCCTCAGCCTCCAGAGTAGCTGGGACTAGGCTCCCGCCACCATGCCTGGCTAATTTTTGTATTTTTAGTAGAGATGGGGTTTCACCATGTTAGCCAGGCTGGTCTCAAACTCCTGACCTCAGGTGATCCGCCCACGTCAGCCTCCCAAAGTGCTGGGATTACAGGCTTGAGCCACCACATCCAGCCTGATTTTTTTTTTTTTTTTGACAGAGTCTGTCTGTTACCCAAGGTAGAGTGCAGTGGTGCCTGAAACTCCTGAGCTCAAGCGATCCCTTCCACCTGAGCCTCTCGAGTAGCTGGGACTACAGCTTTGTGCTACTGCGCCCAGGTGACAGTAGGTTTTAATCTGAGCATGGGGGCAGCTATGATTCCCAGTGGCACCTGGGGTAAGACCAGGTCCTGGCTCCACTCACCCTGCCAGGACCTCGTGGTCTGACACCTTCACGCAGGACACGCCATCTCTGGCCTCATCCAGCGTCTGCACTGGCTCAGGCCTCCGTGAGCGGCAGTCCCAACAGCGGATACTGGAATCAATAGAGCCTGTGAGGCCAGCATGATGGTGAGGTCAGTTTTGGACTGGGAGGGCAGCACCCTGGGCCCCCCTGCCGAGGCCCCAGACTCACCGGACAGGATAACTGTGGCCTCTTCATTAAACTGCACCGTGTTCACCTTCTGAGAAAGTTATTGTCACTCAGAGGAGGCTGGACTTTGGAGGATTGGGATAAAGGTAGGGTTCCCAGTGTCAGTTAAAGCAAAGGCGAGGAGAAGGGGAGGTGAAAGGTTTTGGGGGAACTGCGAGGACAGGGGTTGGTGACTGCCTAGCGTGGCACGCGGAGCGGGGAATCGCCATCTGGGGAAGGGATCCTTATGGTGTAATGGAGAGTGTCCTTGTCACCACCTATGCGCTAAACGGGTCCCCTCCGCTCCAATGAAGGTCTCTAGGCTTTCACTCACCCCTGCGTGGCCCCGGAATTTGCGCACGACCTGCCCCGATGCCACATCCCACAGGACCACCGCCTTGTCTCCGCCGCCGGAGCAGAGGCTGCTGTTGTCAAAGGAGCTGGAGGACAGGAGGAGGAGTATCAGCATCGAACTCGGATCCCAGCCTCAGCGCTCCCATCCCGGCCTGGCCCCCGGCTCACCCGGCCGCATCCAACACCTCGTAGCCGTGGCCGCTGTACGTCCGCAGCAGCGTCCCCCGAAGTGGATTCCATAGTTTCAGGGTCTTGTCGCTGCCGCACGTCAGGCAGTAATTGCCATCCACTGGGGAACACCAGGCGGGGGTTACTGGGCCGCCGGCCTCAGGAGGCGGCAGGAGGACCCGGAATGAAGACAAAGGCCCTCACCGTTAAATCGTACGGCTCGCACCGCCCCTTGCCCGCAGTCCAGCGTCTTCAACCGTTTCTGCGGCAGCTCCGGTGGCCGCGGCTTTGGTTCAGGGAAAGCCATGGTCCCAGGGTCCCTTCCTCGCCGCTTTAAATCGGTGTGTACGGAAGATTCCGCGCCTTGGAAACCCACGCTTGGGTGTAACCCTATTATTGTCCTCCCTGACCTACTTCCTGTTTCTTCCGGTTTCATTTTGGCATTTGAGTGCTCGGGTTAGAGCTATTCAAGTCCGCTTTCAGGTTATTTTCCCAATTTCCCCTTGCAAGGAAGATTTCTGGGCTCTCCTGTCTCCATTCTCTGGGTAGGGGGAGTCCAAGCCTCCGTCCTGAGGAACGGAAATGCGAGGGCTTTGGGTGTTACTCTAAAGTCTGCCCTTCACTTGCATACCGGAAGCTGCCATTCCCGCAGCGGAAGAGGCGTGACCGGGCTTTCGACTAGCTATGTCCACTAACAATATGTCGGACCCACGGAGGCCAAACAAAGTACTGAGGTGAGGACACCAGCGTCATGGCCACCGGGTTCGGGTTGTGGGTGTGGATCGGGGCCCTGGGAAGCGCCTGTCCATCCCGAGGGCGGTACCTGAGCGCCCCTGACCCTCGAGCCTGTCGCAGGTACAAGCCCCCGCCGAGCGAGTGTAACCCAGCCTTGGACGATCCGACGCCGGACTACATGAACTTGCTGGGCATGATCTTCAGCATGTGCGGCCTCATGCTTAAGGTGGGCGGGGTTGAGCTTCCACGGGTGTAGTTGGACCTGAAAACGAGGCCAGGTTTGGAATGAAGAGGGGCGTCTGGCCGGCGCTAATGGGACGGGACCTGAGATCGGCCGGGAGTGGGGCTGGGGTAACGCTGGGCCAAAAAAGCCCCAGTCTTTGGGGAAGTCAAGGATTTGGGTCAGGGTGGGGATGTGGCAGATTGGTCTGCGGGTGGGGCCAGGCTTTGAAGCAACTTGGAGGGGACTCGTGGAAAAAGGGCAGGGTCTCAAGCATGTGGTATGTCTGAGTCTCTCTTGGCCCTGAGAGACACAGGCCGGGCAGTAGGACTGGAAACCATGTATCTGGAGTATGCCATGTGCTGGTGGGACTAAGAACTCTCGAGGGGTAAGATCCCAGCTGCATCAGATGGAATCAGTGGGCACGAACTGGTGTCTGGAAAGGTGACTTCGGGGGATTCATTGGTGTGCCTTTCACTGACCTAACCTGCCCACCCACCTATTTTTCCCCAGCTGAAGTGGTGTGCTTGGGTCGCCGTCTATTGCTCCTTCATCAGCTTTGCCAACTCTCGGAGCTCAGAGGACACGAAGCAAATGATGAGTAGCTTCATGTGAGACTTGGCTTAGAGGATGAGGAACTTATGAGTAAGGGGTGGGGGGACCCGTCTGCCCATCCTGGACTGACACCTCTCTCCTGTCTCAGGCTCTCCATCTCTGCTGTGGTGATGTCCTATCTGCAGAATCCTCAGCCCATGACGCCCCCGTGGTGATACCAGCCTAGAAGGGTCACATTTTGGACCCTGTCTATCCACTAGGCCCAGCCTTTGGCTGTTCAACCTGCTGCCCTCAGCTGCCGTCCTGGACTTCCTTGAATGAGGCAGTCTCAGTGCCCCCAGCTGGATGGAGGGAATCTGGCCCTTTCCTAGAGAACACCCTAGGCCTACCCCTCCTGCCTCCCTTCCCCTGCCCACTGCTAGGGGATATGCTATCCATGTTTCTAGGGGTATCCATTTGCTTTCTCGTTGAAAAATGTTAATAATAAAGTTTTTCACTCTGGCCGTCAGCCTCTTCTGTTCATTAGGGTGTTCCTCCTAATTGAGGGGAAGAGCTCTAGCTCCACAGGCCTGGTGTAGGGCCCCAGTCTGGAGGCTTCTGGCTGTTCATTTGCGTACTTCATAAACATTTGTCTTAAGTCAGGTGCTAGGGACAAGACAGGGACTTCTGCCCTCTGGCAACTCACCAGATGGCCCTGCTGACCTAGATAATCTGGGCTTTGGTTTCCTTTTTTTTTTTTTTTTTCCTTTAAAAAAAAAAAAAGCCAGGCGTGGTAGCTCACATCTGTAATCCCAGCACTTTGGAAGGCACTTTGCCACTGAACTCCAGCCTGGTGACAGAGCCAGACTCCATCTCGGAAAAAAAAAACAAAACCATAGGGCCTTGATCTGTCATGCAGGCTGAGTGCAGTGGCCCGATCTCTGCTCACTGCAGCCTCAAACTCCTGGGCTCAGTCCTCCCACCTCAGCCTCCCATGTAACTGGGATCATAGGCACGTGCTATCATGCCCAGCTAATTTTTGTTTTTTGAGACAGTTTCAATCTTGTTGCCCAGGCTGGAGTGCAATGGCGTGATCTGTATCTCGGCTGACTGCAAACTCTGCCTCCCTTGTTCAACGATTCTTGTGCCTCAGCCTCCCAAGTAGCTGGGATTATAGGCCTGTGCCACTATGCCCAGCTAATTTTTGTATTTTTACTAGAGGCAGGGTTTCATGGTGTTGGTCAGGCTGGTCTTGAACTCCTGACCTCAGGTGATCCACCCGCCTCCCAAAGCACTGGTGTTTTGGTTTTGTTTTGTTTTCAGACACAGTCTCACTCTGTCACCCAGACTGGAGTGGACATGATGTTACTGCAGCCTTGGCTTTCTGGTGGTCAACCTCCTAAGTAGCTGGAACTGAAGCAGGAGAATAGAAGAGGAAATTGGAGGTTGGATAAAAGGAGAAATGAGTAGGAGCAGAAGCAGGATAAAGAGGCAGGTAAGCAAGAAGCAAGATAAGCAGAAGTTGACCTGAAATAAAAGTGACAAAGAAGTAAGGAGACCCCATGGCTGGCTAAATTCAGACCGAACCAGCAAGGGGCAGCTCCTAAAAGATGGGCATGCACACTAGAGAGAAAATATATCCTAAAAATGACTGCATATGGCAATTAGGTCATTAAAGCTCATGCATATGGGCTACATTTAATGCATATACTTAAAATTGTGGGATGGAAGCAACCAAGAAATTAACCCACCCATCAAAAGGCACATACTTGCTAGAGATTAGGCAGCCCGGGAAAGAAAAAAACATCTAAAAGAACCCTGGGGCCGGGCAGAGTGGCTCACGTCTGTAATCCCACCATTTTGGGAGGCCTAGGTGGGTGGATCACTTGAGGTCAGGAGTTGGAGACCAGCCTGGCCAACATGGTGAAATCCCATCTCTACTAAAAATACAAAAATGAGTCAGACATGATGGCGCATGCCTGCAATTCCAGGTACTTGGGAGGCTGAGGCAGGAGAATCACTTGAACCCAGGAGGCAGAGGTTGCAGTAAGCTGAGATCACACCATCCCACTCCAGCGTGGGTGACAGAGTGAGATTCGGTATCAAAAAAACAGAAAAACAAACAAAAAAGGCCGGGCGCGGTGGCTCAAGCCTGTAATCCCAGCACTTTGGGAGGCCGAGGCGGGTGGATCACGAGGTCAAGAGATCGAGACCATCCTGGTCAACATGGTGAAACCCCGTCTCTACTAAAAATACAAAAAATCAGCTGGGATTACAGGCACATGCCACCATGCCCAGCTGATT